CATCGAACAATTTTGTATGAGATAGCAGCTGTCATGAGTTAGAGCAGGTCGGGAGCTGGGAAAAGTTACGTTTGAGGTCGGAAGGATACAAAAAAGTGGTTTGGCAGTTAGCATTGCAACACAAATGTTTTGTTCACCCATATAGTGGCAGACGTATAGTTGTCGCCAACTGCTGTGTACATATATCTACTTCAACTTTCCGCCTGCCTTCAGCACCTATGCTTGAGGTACGAGATGCTGATATATGATGTTTAAGTCACTGTGACACACATGTTGGCACCGGCCTTATACTGGGCTAACAATGACAAAATCTGGCTACATATACTCAAGCCATGTGCATTGAACCATCAGACAGTACGTAACATGCACATCAGCAGGATGGAACAAGCTAATGTTTGTTATCGATGCTTTCCACGCTCTTCAAGAAATCATATGCTGCCCCAGGACTGCAGCTCGGTCAAATACATACTTAAGTCCAAACAAGACTTCGTTCTACATAGTGTTTCACATTTGTATGGGGTTTGAAGCTCAAATAACAATCTTGAAGATATTTTACCCAGCTTACAGCCATGCACTTCTTAAGACCTCAACCGTTCCGTGAGCGTGCCCAGCCAGGTGCCACGCGATTAAGCTTCATTAGCCAGCCGGCCTCAGCCCTCATCGCCAACCTTCGTGTTTCGGGTCATCATGTGATACATGGAGACCAGGGACCAGCAGCGGCGGACGCAGCCAGCCGAAAAGGAGGGTCGGACAAGGTGGCCGGAAGATTCCCTGACAGCATCCTGGAAACAAGACCAGACAGAGCATGCCATAACACGTTAAATATCGGGGATATCTGGCCCATCTCAAACCGATATATTCCATCATCCGTTTTGTTTGCATCTGTTTTGGCTAAGGCAAAAACAATTGGGTACCACTGGAGCAAAGCAACCCAAAACACAGATTCCCCTGGATGTAGTTGGTCAACCGACGTCTTTTTCTTACCATTTTGGAAAAACTAGTCCGCGGATAGCTATTTTCATAAAATACTTCCTACTAGAATTCATCAGCATAGAGTCAAATACGATGGCCTGTAAGCGAATTATGAGCTTGTCATTTACATTTGCTCAGAAGCTGGGTAGGTTCGTAGACGTTGGGTGAGGGACCGATTATCAGCATATCGACCCACACAAGCGACACCACTCTAGTTGTTGTAGCATCTGATTTCTGACTTATATCTCATCCATCTCATCTGCTATATGGCCGTGGATTCTAACCACATCTTGCTTCGATATTAAGAACAAGGACATCATTTGGTAGGAATTTGCAAGCTTGACTTACAACACGGACATGAACACAGCAAAAACATATTGTACAGAGCTCTTTCCAATTGTTAAAAGGGGTGTTCATTTGTATGAGGTTTTGAACAGAAATAGCCGCCTTAAGATTCATTCAGTGCAGTTCACAGCCCCGGTCTTGTCAAGACGTAAACTCTTCTAGTTTTTGAGCCACGTGCCCGCGAAGATGGGCACACTTTTTTGTACAGACTATGATTTTCACACAGGCACCCATGACGTCATAGTATGACGCCATTGAAGTCCTGCCATTACATTGGTCATGCGGCGATCAAGGTCAAGAAAGATACAATCGTCGAGTCGTTCATATCTGGTGTTCGTGAACCTGATTTCCATACATCACGGATGGCAATTGGCTCTCAATAAGTGATGTGCCAGATCCGATAACGTTATTTAACAACGATGTTTTGAGGAGCACATTTACCAAACAGAGAAATTGGGTTGTCTAGGGCAGCATTTTTCATTTAAACGCATACCATTAGTTGTAACTGAGCTTATTTCATTATATCTGGAGCTTGCATCATTATCTTTAAAGGGAGTGTTTCACAATTGAAGATATTGAAGCAAACATCAGATATGATGAAACAAGCTCAATTATGATTATTGGTCTACTTTTAGTTGTAAAAAACTGCTGGAAACAGCGCAATGCTCTGTTTAGTAAATATGTTCAATGCGTCATGACTTGATTACGTCATCGTACCTCGCACAACATTGGTTGAGAGCCAATTGACAGTGGCTATATCTAGAAAACGCGTTCACAAACACCAGAAATGAACGCCTCGACAGTTATACTTATTTTGCTTCAGATCAGCGCATGGCTAAAGGAACCGCAGGATTTAAACGACGATATTAAGAGGTGACGAATGCCAATGGGATTTGAAATACTCTCCCCGATATACCTTTCCTCACTTTCGCTGGCTTGCAACTCAGAAACAAGAGGGTATTAAGTCTTGAGAACGATGGGATTGCGAACGGCACCGAAAGGCCTTCAATATGGATACTACAGCTCAAAACCCCATCAAATGTGGAACACTCCCTTTAAGCTTCACCAATGGCAGGCAGTGGTGGTATCAGGGTATTCTGATTGTTTTGCTTGCCTGTGGTGTGTGACTTTTATGAGGTGTGAGACCAGAAATATGTCAGTTATCCTCTGTGGTAGTTTCAGCTGTCAGGCAGTCACTTGTAAGCTGCACGGAAATTATTCACAGCTAGCTGTTATATGATATTAGTTGTCATTCTGATTGCTGGACTTGTCTGTGGCGTACGACTTTTGATAACTGTGAAAGCAAAACTATGTGGGCTGTTCTGTATAACTTGTATTACTTGATGGCTGAAAACCCTGAGTCAGGGTCCTAACTTAGCGGCAACCAGCATTCAACGTTCTGTGTTTTCAAAAGAAGCAATGAAAACCAGTCACCAGGCGCATGGTATGTTAAAGACCAGAGGGAACCAGGATCCAGGGTTTGGCTTCTAAGGGAAGCAGTGGAACCGGGATCCAGAATTTTGTTTTTACGAAGGAATCAGTGTGAGCCAGGAACCAAAACTGGAAACCAGCCACAGACGACCTGTCGGCAGTTGACATGATTTGGTCAGCTCTTTCTGTACAATGTTGTGTATACTACGATTTGGGCGCCGTCCGATACAAAAGGCAATGCGGTCATGCTGTGGTGCACGTGGTCGCCGATGACATGAGGACTGGGTGGGGTGGCTAATTACTGCCTGCTGAGTGGCAGCCGATGGGCCTTCAGGGACAACAAAGCCGAGCACAGCAATGGCTACAGCGAACAACATGGCGGTAGCTACTAGGTGTCAATAGCTTGCAGTCATGGAACAGAATATGGAACCAAATCACTCATTTGTGCTGCGAGACTACAGGAAACCACCATGCATGTTCGATAGCATGCCATACAAACAAAAAAGCATCCGAAAAATGCATGATGTAGATGGATGCAGCCACGAATAAAGTACTCAGATTTAAGTCTGGCCAAGCTGAAGAAAACCTGAAACTTTCTCTGTCATTGGCATACTAATAAGCTGCATAGCAGTAGTCAATAGCCTTGATTGATGTACGAACTTAAAAAGAATATCCCACACTCGAAGATATTGAAGCAAGGATCGAATATGATAACAGAAGTTCACTTACATCTATTGGTATGCTTTTGAATGGAAAAGGCTGGTTTGGAGAACACAGTTTCTCTGTTTAGTAAATCTAATCCTTAATGTGTCTTTGTTTGATAACTTTATTGTACCCTGCACAACATTGATTGAGGGCCAATCGACAGCCGATATGTCTGGAAGTCGTGCTCACGAACACCGGATGTAAATGACTTGACAATGGCATTCATCTTGACTTTCATCGCCGCATGGCCAATGGAAGTGCAGAATGTCGCTGACTTTATTATGGCGTGACGGATGCGTGGTTGACCTTAAAATAGTTTCCCCGAAATAGTCTGCACATCTTCGTGGACATGTAGCTTAGAAACTGGAAGGGTTCAGATCTTAAAAGGCGCAGGGATGAGAACTGGACCGAATCATCTTCAAGATCGCTATGTCGGCTTCAAGCCCCAAACACATGTGAAACACTCTCTTAAGGACGAAGCCTTAATTGGACTTCAGTATGAACTCGACCGAGTTGCAGTCCTGAGGCAGCATGTGATTTTTGGAGTAGCGTGGAAAGCATTGATAGGAAACAATAGCTTGTTCTATCCTGCTGATGTGCATGTTACGCACTATCTGATGTTAAATACACATGGTTGGAGCACATTTAACCAGGTTTTGTGATTGTTAGCTCAGTATAAGCCCAGTGCCGAGATGTGTGTGACAATGACTTAAACAACAAGCGTCAGCATCTTGTACCTCAAGCATCGATAGATGCTGAATGTAGGCGGAGAGTTGAAGTAGACACATGTACACAATAGGTGGCTACAACTGTACGCTTGTCAGAATATTGGTGAAAAACATTTGCCCTACAATGTTAACTACCAAACCACTTCCATGTATCCTCCAGCCTCAGATATAATAACTCTTCGCAGCTCCCGACCTGCTCGAACTCATGACAGTTGATATCTCGTACAACAATTGTGGATACAAATTTTGAACAAAGAAACTCGTGACAGCTGCTTTTTTATACAAGATTTGTGGAGAGCAGATAACACCCACAGTCGACCGCCACCGTATAGCGGTGAGGGGTCAAGGCCAGCCGACCCGGCGGACACGACCGTCGTCCCGGTACCTCAGTTGGTTAGTACGCCTATCTTCCGATTCACCCACTCTTGGCGTTTGGGTTCGAGTCACTTTAAGCGCTTGCTGTTTGCCCCTGCCTGCGCTAGCCTGCGGCCGGTGGAAGCAGCTTTGCTGGAGTTCAAGCGTGGTCAGAGAGGAAGGCAAGCTTTACGGCGCGTTAAAATTTCGTCGAGACGTTTGGCCGTTGACCTGGAAGTTTACGATTAGGTGGTGCGGTTGTAATCAACACTGCTTGGTGTGAGCTCTCATTTTTTTCTCTTGGTCTTTCGCAGTTAACACGTAAGTGGAGCGTGTACGTCAAGGCTGTCTATGTTTTGCAGAAGAATAAAAGACGCGCATGCGTTTTTGAAGCATGAGTTTTATCGCGTGCAAATATCTGTAATGTTGTGTGCAAGTATTGGCGGTAAAAAAGTCGATTCACCCTCATCGATCGGAGTGTTTTTCTGTAGCACTGTCGTCGTGGAACGCCTTCAGCGCCTTCAGCGTGAACGCTTTCAACGCTGGATGCCAGCGCCATAAACGTGGGCTCCGCTTCTTCCTGTCTCTTGTCAAGTGCTGCCATCTGCAGACAAGTCGTAAGGGCGCGGGTCGAACTGGGCGCGGAAACCGGCCTGTCTTTGCACTCATATAGGACGGAAGGACGTAGATAGCACTGCGTCGGTTAGTTTTTAGGCTTACTTTGATAACTTGGCACGATTCAATAGTTACCAGGCATGCCCTCAACGCCCTCCTCCTTCCCCCCCCCCCCCTCCCCCGGACGAAGCGCTTGTTCACTTTCCTCCCCTTCCCTTTCCTCGTGCGGGGACAAGTTTTTCGCTCGGCAACGTTGACGGAGGTGTGGGCAGACGGTCTACAGAACCATGCGCCATCGGTGTGGAGTTTGGGCTCTGTGCAGGCGCAGTAGAGACAGCTCGCCCAGCTCAGATCAGCAGCTGCTGGGGGAAATGACCAGACAGAGGGCGAGCGAGCTCGTGCACCTGCCTTCCCGCTGCCCTGGCCTGACCCCAGCCCCTGGTCCGACTGCGGTTCAAAGGCCTCTCACTCCCACAGCCATCTGCTGAGCGTATCTGATGGTCACGGTCAGGAACTGGGTCCCCCCCCCCCGCTCCGAGCAGTATCAAATGTGCTGACGTTTTGGCCGACGTTTTGGCCGACCGAGCCTGCCGGGCTGGGAAACCGACCTGTGCACGCTATGAGGCCCCCCTCCCTATTACAGGCGAGAGTGTGGCGCTGAACCCCGCACTGGACCACATGCGACGACTCACACGCGGCCCAGCGCCGCTGGGCCTGCCACGCTCGGTGTATACAGTGGGAAGCGCGAACGGAGCGCCAGCTGCAGACTGATGTCGTATGATATCAAGCCAACATTTGGTCATTATTTAACACTCGGTTTACGTCCACATGGTATGGCTCTGGTTTCCTTGCTTCTGTCACATCAACTAGCAACCGTGTGATATCAAATCAGATGTAACAGTCATTTTAAAACAAACTAAATTTCAGCCTTCTTACCTGCCGCAAGAGTCAGCTGTCTCTCCTTATTAATCTGGGTCGCATGGAAGGATGCCTTATCATTTATGTGGGTCACATTGGATTTAGAAAGTGAGTGATACTTGCCATCTACTTGGAAGCACCTCTCACGTGCTAAAGTTATATTGGCGCAAGACCTATACCGAAATTCTCTATGTTATGCCCATGGAAGATTGTGATGTGACAGAATCCGTGGGAGATCACCCTAGGACAAGTGTAATCAGCCTTTAAGTGGATACAATTACAGCAACAATGAAGTCTCCTGGCGTTGGTTCTGAAACTGCAGACTGCAGCGCAGCACAAAGCTGTTGTGCGGCACACTCGTGATTCCGACGCATGCCCTCGGCAGCAGGCGGGTCAGAGAGTTGGCGGGGTTGATGGCCGGCCCATTCGTTCCAAGAAATGGCCGTGAACCTTGAACGGAATCAAAGTGAGCTGAAGAGGTTTTTGTGCTGTGGGTTCTGTTCGTGTATAAGGCGAGCTGGTGGTAAGTATCAATCCGTATTTGGCCATAACTCGGGAAGACATGAGAAACGAAGCCAAGAAATCGGTTGCGGTATTTGATTGCTCTTACTTTTTTGGATACTGGGTCCTAAATTTTTGATTGGATAAGGTTTTGGGATCAGCTTCCATGCTGCAAAGGCGGTAGCCGGTAGATAGTTAATGCCATCTGATGCCAGGGAGTCCTACCCTCAGGGTGGGGCGTGCAGTATCATGTGTTGGAGCACGTTATATTTCACCGTGAAATTACGTCGCTAACCTGGAATTTCACGGTCCGATGATGGTTTCGGGGTGTACGCAACAAGCACCGCTTCGCGCGGGCGCTGATCCGTGAAAAGTATAAAATCAAATTGTTAGGACAAAACAGTTGAAAAATTGAAGTGCTGCAACCTATTCCTTCGTTTATGTTTCGAACCTTTCACCGAATTAAGGCCAAATAACGAGGTATCTCCACTACCCAATCGCAAATGGACACTCGCCAACGTTCAGTATCGACTTTGCATGTTTCAGTTTACACGCTTATAAATTTACTGGAACTCGAGCTCGACTAACTCTTTTTAGGTTTTGTTCACAAATTCACACCAAACATTATATAGACCGTGAACTAAAGGGAGCAGCCCACCTTTTTCACACCCTTCCCGCAGAGTCAGAACAGACAGGTCCATTGGGTTCGGTAACGCAAGGTTTTTTCGAAATCCTTCTGAAGAGCTTAGATTTGATTTAAATTAGGCGTTCCCACTGGAGAAACCTCATTGAACTCTCTTCTCACCACCACGAAAGCAATACTTTCTATTTTTAGCTCTTTCGCGTGTGTCGTGTGATGTCCTCAGTACACCAAGCCACCAAAATGCTGGCGCGATAAATGGTACGAGAGCCGAAAACCTTTTATTTATGGAGGACTTAATCGCGTTTAGCATAGTGACTGTGCGAAGGATATTTTGGCGTCAGGAAGCGTTTTTAACTTGGATGCTTGTTTTTCCAAAGGATATGTTTATAAGGCAAGTATACACCATCGGCATGTCGCCTGTTTTAGTGACGCACGGTGACAGGGTGTGATGGCCTGCATGTTACCTCACTTTTGTCAAAATTTGAGATACGTAGGTCATGACCTTAGAATTAAATAATGTCAAACAAGTTCGAGCTCCGGATTGGGAGATCAAGTGCCTCGTACCATTTCATGCAACCCCCTTAAACCTAGCCACCTAAACCTAGTCATTGATGTCTATTTGAAGTCAATGACCTTCTCAGGCCTTTAAAGGGCCATTGGGCCCAAAACGCTAAGAGTGCTTTAGTTTTTGCATTTTAATGAGCGACAAGAACCACGCTAAGAGAAACGTTTCTAAAAAAACCGAATGTTGACTTGGGTCATTTCATATCAATCTACCCTGCCGCTGTCCTTGATATTAATCAATTTATACTGAGCACCAGAAACTACCTCATGCAGCAAAATCTCGAATGAAATGAACAGGCTGGCTTTCACCTCAGTCCCACCTTTCTATCTCGCCAAAGCTCAATGGAATTTCTTGTAATCCTAAATGCAGCGGGTTTAAGACCTAAGAGATTATCTAACTATGTATGATATATATATAACTATGCATGATGATGTAAGATTTATTACTTTAGTGCACACTCCATTGTCACGTCAGATGGGACGTTTCCCTAGAAATTGCCTTCGTTGACAGCCCCACCTAACTTTGGCCTACCATAAGATAATGACCTTACAAGGCGCCTCTAACTTTGTATCCCAAAAATATTTGCTTTTCAATTTCCCACACCTAGGTAAAGTTTGGCGCGGCTACGCTACGCCATTATGGAATTATACCGCAAACACCGTCGGGGGAAGGGAAAATGGGCCCCCATCTAAGCGCTCATTCATTCATATATTTCGTAACTTGCCAAAAGATCCAGTGACTTTTTAAAAGTTATACGTCATCATTGATAAAATCTCGCATAAAAGAGACAATGTGAAGTGTAGTAAAAATAGCCTAACACATCACACATCGGTTAAGGGATATCTCGGTAAATCTCACTATTGCAGTCACATTGTGGCATCACACACAATCGAACTCACACACGCACCCACTCATGTGCCAGCATTCGCCTCACTCACTAGAAACTCCATAAGTTGCGATTGAAGCGGCCTAGACTCTGAACATAGTGCAAGTCGGGCGACAGGCAGTTAAACAAATCCGATGCTCTGTAGCTAAATCGGCGAGTGCCAGAGTTGCTCGCCGATGTTCGGGGGCGCCTCAGCTGTTTAACCTGTCGCGTTTCATGAGTGTGCTCAGCACGTGTGAACGTCGCGGGTCGGTATCGAACCCCCTAATGTTTGTAACCACTAATGTATCACAACGCCTAATGTATCAAAACCGCTAATGCTTCATAACGCCTAATGTACGTAGCACCTAATGTGTCATAACCCCTAATGTATCGTAACTCCTAATGTATCACAACACCTAATGTATCGCAACTCCTAATGCATCGTAACTCCCAATGTGTCATAAGGCCTAACGTATTGTAATCCCTTATGCTCGTAGCCTCTAATGTAACACAACTGCTAATATATCATACTCCCTAATGTATCATAACACCTAATGTATCATAACACCTAATGTGTCGTAAGACCCAACGTATCGTAATTCCTGACGATCATAACCTCTAATGTAACACAACTCCTAATATATCATAACACCTAATGTATCGTCAGACCTAGTGTATCATAACCCCTAATGTTCGTAACTCCTAAATCAGCTGACTGCAGTGGGTTTGTCGCACACGATTCTGACCCGCACAGCTGGGCGATGTGCAGTCTACTAAAGTCTACCGAACATCATCGTGCTGCCATCTCTCGGCGAGTGCTAGGGTGGTACCGCATATTGGAACATTCTCACACAACGAACTTTTTATGACAGAATTCGAAAACTTGTTTGCTCCTGTTGCCTGCGAAAGTGCTCAGAGAAATAAAGTAGATTGTGTCTTTGCCATGTCCATCGTATTGAGTTACCAATAATCGTGGCAAGGAAATCATCGCCGTAGATTTTAGCAGAATTGTTCGTGAAGCACGAACTGAACATTACGAGTCCATGTGATACAATGCCTACTTTCCTAAAAATGATGATTCTGGAGCAGCACCAGATGACTGACAGAAGCCTCTGATTGCTGTGCCAGCTTGCTGGCAGACATAATGCTTCCGGGCGGCCAGCAGCACTCCTCAAACAGCCATCCAGAGCAGAGTAGCTGCGTTCTCAGCAGCAGCTCATCAGTTCAACAGCAGGGCACCTCCCCAGCTAACGAAGGGCTGAAGTTGATGTCCATCCCGCTGCCATCAATATCCGCAACAGCGAGCTTCATCCTGCCGGAGAAAATACGCAAAAAGGGCCGCAAGCTGAAAACACCAACAACGCATCGTTCGCATATTGCAAGCAAGTACATCAGAAGAAACAGTCGAGAGATATCGCAAATGTATTGTTGC